AGTTACCAGAACTTAGGAAAGGTTTTTTTTTTTTTTTTGGTTAAAATCTCTAATTTTGTCTGCCATAAGCAAGTGGGAAATGGAGCCAAGAATAGAATAAGTAGCATATCGTGTATGTACCGTATCATAACAGCTTATATGGCAATAAATGCTTATCTACCCTGAGGAAAGTCAGGGTATTAAGTAATAAATAAAATTATGTTTTAATTCTTTGAAAATGGAATGTAACAGAAATCTGACCAAATATAGTCAGCTAGTCCAGAACATTGCTACATATAGACAACATGTATATTCACACACACTATATTAAGAACAAAGCCTTCCTCTATTTTAGAGCGACAATAAATTCACTTTGCTTTAGGGCTCAGTCCCACTTTTACTACACATCTAATAAGTGAATTTGGGCCAACAAAAATGTTTCTTTTTAGTTCTACAACTGTAATACAGGAAAAGCAGTAATCCTTATTATTCCCCTAAAGGCATTTATATAGTGATACAGTGAGAAAGACCTGTTTGCGTGCCTGTTGTTTTTAAATAAGCTTATAAGCCTCCTAGATATTCTGGAAGCTGTAAGTGTAGATGCTTGCTATTCTTTGTGTTTTAATGTACATTCTTGTGATTCAGGGAAATGGGGGGATGTGGATGTTTTGAATACATAAAAGAGGTCTGGCTGATTGTGTAGATAGATTGGGGAGATATACTGTAGAGGACGTGGTCTCTCATCTTCTTTTTGCATAGAAACCAAGTAAGAGCTTTAAGGAAGGAAACCCTTTCATCTGAATCCTTTTCTTATTATTACAATTCCCAGAAGGCTAAAATAAAAAACCCAGAAACTAATCTTTGAGAGTTACTTGTAGTTGTAAAGCGGAGTTAATGAGTCATATGCGGGGGGGGGGGGGGGATGTAGTAATGGATCTATGTGTGACTTCTTTTTCATGTTTTCAAGGGTTTATTGTACACTTCCCCAATGTATGCTTCAATCTAGTCTTTTCCATCTTCTAGAACCCAGGTCCCCAACCGCCGGTCTGTGGATTGGCACTGGGTTGTGGCATGCCGGAAAATGGGCCACGCAAAATGAAGCCCCATCTGTGGGGTGCAGGCAGCATGCAAAACCATGCCCCTTCTGGCCCACTGAAAAATTTCTCTCCTCGGAACTGGTCCCTGGTGCCCAAAAGGTTGGGGGGGGGGGCACTGTTCTAGAATGCACGGAAAGGTCCTATTGTGCCACCTTCTTTGTCAAAATTTATGAATGATAATCATTGCATACTGGAGAGAACAAGGACAGGGATTGGTCAGTTTAATCTTGTGTGCTCTGTATTAAATCTGTTCTGTCCTCATCTCTCTTTCCAGCCAGATCTTCTGAATTTCAAGAAGGGATGGATGTCCATATTGGATGAGCCAGGAGAGGTAAGGTGGAAGAATTATTGGAGCCCAATCATCCCCACCCCTCCATTTGAAGAATTATTAGGACTCTACTTCTTACTCTTGCTCTTTTTTTTCTTCTATTCCCACTGAAATAATGGTTTTATGCCAACCCCTTTTTTAAAATGTGGAAACTAAATATGCTTTTGATTTTTCTTTATAGTCAAATGTAATGCTTTACAGAAGCTTTTGCTTTGTATCATAAATGCATTATATGTATCCATAAAATACCAATATGGATACTTTGCCTAATATGTCTTCACAATTCTGTTGTATGTTCCTTGTTAAAAATGGCTGACAAATAAATTGGGAGAGCCCTTTTTCATAATTAAGTGGCTACACCTGAGGCTGAGTGCTTTTTAAGCAGTATAGGTGTTGAAAGGTGTTTTTGAGAACAAACACATCTTATATTTTGTCTTCCTGTTCTCCTTTGGTTGATGGTTTGGCCAACAGTGGACAAAGCATTGGTTTGTGCTGACAGATTCAAGCCTGAAGTACTACAGGGACTCCAATGCTGAAGAGGTAAGAAAGTGACCTAGCCTGCATGGAATCTTTTGGATGTGGTATTCAAGGGAAGAGTACTGTATAACGATTGTATGTATTTCCTTGGGGGGGAAGTAGAAGTGATGTGCTTATTTAAAAGTGACAAAGAAGTGTCATGTACTTCTCTATACACTGAAAAGATAATATGGGATTGCTTAGCTTGGAAATAATTATTTAGCTGAAGCACATAAGATGAAGGAGGAGGCTCCAGTAGGCTGGAAATGTTGTAGATTGGAGATAGGAAATTCCTGGACCAGATGATTTTGCATAACACTTACGTTCTGGAGGTCTTTTCAGGCAGATGATCTAGATGGAGAAATTGACCTACGAACTTGCACCGATGTGACAGAATATGCAGTGCAGAGGAATTATGGCTTCCAGATAAATGTAAGTACTAAAGAAATGAAATAAAAGTGCTTGGAAATGAAGTAAAAGGCCACATAGTTTACTGAATCCAGCAAGAAATTCTCTAACATTCTTTAATACTGTTGTGGAGAAGATGCTTCTGTTTAGCCACTATAATGATGTAAATGCAAAGGATGGCAATTTACCTTGTGAATTGAAATTATTTTCTAAACTGCAGTCATAAAGTTATAACAGAAAGGAAAGTTTGCCAAGAGACGGAGTAGAATTGACCCAGCTGAAGTTTTCCAAATGGAGTAGCCTGCAGTTTGCCTAAATACTGTTGAACAGAGGGTTAAACCAAGTGGGATCCAGCTTTAGTTACAGTTAGTTGACTTAGAACTGTAATGGAGGCTATGATTTCAGTTGTGAATCATTGTGATCTTAAGGCATCACATGACTGGACCTGGGTTTTTTTGGCATTTGATAATTTTGACACTATGATAATGGTTGTTAAAGGGACCTGGAAGTAAATGCTGAACACCCCCCCCCCCCCCCCAAAATGCCATAAGTGCAATCATATAATATGTGCAAATGACTGTAAAAGTGAGCTGGTTGCCAAGCACCCAACCAGCGCATTACTAAGGGGGGATGTGGGCATTGTAAATTCAAAATCAGGTTTAGGGAAAGCAGAGGTGGTATTCAGCCGGTTCGGACCAGTTCTGGCGAACCAGTAGCAGAAATTTTGAGTAGTTTGGAGAACTGGCAAATACCACCTCTGGTTGGCCCCACCCTCCCACCACCACCGTTCCTTGTCCTATATTCCCTTGTTTTTTAGCTCAGCTGATTCGCGCGGCAGAGCAGACTACCGTGCCTCAGCTGAACTAAACAACAATTCGCTCACCAGTGCTTACACCGAGGGCGGTCTTTGAATGCTGCATGTGTGCGCGAAGCACTCTCTCATAGAACCAGTAGGAAAAGATTTGGAATCCCACGGCTGGAGGGGGGATCATCCTTACTTTGAATGGTTGCTAAGTAACAAGTCATAAGTTGAGGAATACCTGTAATACTTAGTTTATAAAGAAGTTCTTCTGTGATTTTATCCTGTTTGAAATCTGGCTATTTCCTATTTTCCTGTTTTATCAAAACCCAAACCTGAAATCAGATATACTCGTAGGACTTGCTAGCATATGGAGTCTCAGTACTCTCTGAGCTCCCTTGTTTGCTTACAGATGTTTCATTTCCCAACTTCTCAGGCAAATGAAACATTGCAAGTAAACAACAAAGCTCAGAGAGCACCAAGGACTCCACAGTTCAGTCCTGAACTACATATATTCCGCTGCCAGTATATGCTGCCTTCCATTTGCCTCATTACGTTTCCTATGTTGAAGGTGAAACATAGGTATACTTGAGGTCTATAATCATTAAGCCATATTTTGTGTGTTTCTTTTTTTCCAGACTAAAGATGGTATTTTTACATTATCTGCAATGACATCAGGAATTCGCCGGAACTGGATTGAAGCTCTAAGAAAGAGTATTCGACCAGCCAGTGTGCCTGATGTCACAAAGTATGTGGTGCATCAGACTTTCTAATAATTAAATTATTAAATTCAATCTATAGGAATGTTTGAGCAGTTGTGTTTTTCCAGCATTCAGCCAGATATACTGTATTTTTCAGAGTATAAGATGCACCTTTTTCCCTCAAAAAAGAGGCTGAAAATCTGGGTGCATTTTATACCCTGAATACAGCATTTTTGGCCTCCTGAAACCCCACCCCTTAACCAAAATGGTCGTGCATAGTCTTTAGGAGCCTTACAGAGTGAAGGTTTTGGTGAAAAACAGGTTTCTTATGGAGTTGAGTGGAGAAAACTACTGTCAGTACTGTCTGCATTTGTCAATAGTTCTTCTCTAGATTTCAGAAATCCCTTTTCCCCAGCACTGATGAGATTGGATATAGCATTCTTTAAATGTTGATTAAGAGTTAGATCGTTATGCTTGGCCTCTTTCCGATTCCCAGAGGTTGTCCAGTCTGATCCAATGCTATCAGTCTGGAATGCCTGCCCTTCTCTCCAATTGAGCCAGGTGAAAATATTTACTAGGATTATTCACCACAAATGTGTTGTTATATTTCAACAATCCAGTTATTGTAACTTCTTGAGAACTTGTTCCTCTTGAATTACTATGTAATGTGATAATAGGGCTGACTGTACTTGGGTGGCTTCCAGATCTGGGTGTCATCTACACTGAGATTGGAGATCCATTTGTAGGCAGTTTCTGCAAACGCTTCCTGAATGATTTCTGCTTCTAAGTTTTGCATGGCTTTCCTCCTGGTTCCAGGCTATCTGACCACAACAAGGAAAACTCATTCTGCAACAATAAATCCCCCAAGAGTTCCTTCCGAACTGAGCTGCAGCCCAACACAGGAAGTGAGGTGATATCCAGAGCTGGCAGCAGGAAAGCTGAAGGGCAGCAACAGGCTTTTGACTGTGTTGAATTATCCCCTTTACAACAGCGGTTAGCCTTAAATCAGGGATCCCCTCAGCGGTCAAGAGGGAGCACAAGAAGTTCAGATGGAGCAGTCAAGCGGGAAGACTTGGAGCGGGACCTGGCCCTCCGGTCGGAAGAGAGGCGCAAGTGGTTTGAGTCTTCAGTCAGTGGGGGCCTGCAAACCGATGACCCAGCAGAGAATCCTTGTCCTAAGAAACCTCTTACGGAAGCTCAGAGGAGTCGGCTAAGTGAAGACATTGAGAAGAAGTGGCAGGAGCTGGAACGTCTGCCTCTAAAAGACTCCAAACGGGCCCCACTGATGGTGCTGCTGAACCAGGGCAAAGGGAACCCTGAGGACGCAAGTGAAGCACTGGAGAAAGAGGTAGAGAAAAAGGGAAATGGGTGCTTTTAAAATTAGATAAATAAATAAACTAAATAGAAGTAGCCAGTGGTAACGTCCTGAGTCAACATGTGCGGGAGGAAATACCTCTGTCCTTTTCACAAGCCTGAACAATGCAAATGTGCACATTCTCTGAATTGTTTCTGCTATTGATGCTGACTCTTTGAAACATGTTGAAATAAGAAGGACGGAGAAACATAAGCTCTGCAGAGAGAGCACTTACTAATAGCATTTAGACTTGTGCACTGCTCCACAGTGCTTTACAGCACTGAGTAGTTTTCAATGTCAGCATATTGCCCCCAACAATCTGGATCCTCATTTTATCGACCTCGGATTGATGGAAGGCTGAGTCAGCCTTGAGCTGGTCAGGATTGAACTCCAGGCTGTGGGCAAAGTTAGCCTGCAATACTGTATTCTAACCACTGAACCACATGGCATGCCATCAGTCTGGTGTACTGAGAACACTACAGTATTGAATAGGAAAAGACTCCCTTCCATGCTTTTAACATTGTGCAAAGATGATGTTCCAGGCCAGGTTCATTTTGAATAGTTTTGACACATCCATCAATGAAATTTCAGTCACTTGGCCATTCCACATGCATAAGTCTGGCTCAGCTACATTTTTTAAATAAAATATAAACTATGATTCACAAACCACAGTAGCTAGATTTTCCTGACACACTAAAGCAAAATGGAACAAACCATTAGTTTAATACAGGCAATGAAACATCTATAAAGCTATTGTGCAACTTTTGTGGCTTGCTCATAATACTAAATAATAATGTGACACAAACCAGCACACACAGATCACTGGAACGGTTCTATATTTCATTACTTGCAGAAACAACATAGTACTTCGAAGCTGTCTGAGTATGGTGGGCAGAGCATAGTCATCTGGCTAGAAAAGTGACTTTTGAATGTAGCCAGCAGCTTCTAAAATCCACTATCACATAGAAGTTGACTTCCATGCAGCAGTGATTATGATATTTTGGAGCAGTAAAAAGGGGGAAATATTAAGGAGTTTAAAATGGATGTACTGAATTAGCATGCCAACATGTTATCATGACATCATGGGTGTGTGGATGGATTATAAGTCAATTTGCCTTTCCTGATGACCTGGGATTCGGGTTAACAGAAAATTATTCTTTGGTGGTGGTTTGTTATTCTGCTAAATCATTTTTCTAACAGGTCCAAGTTCTGAGATCACAGCTGGAGTCCTTGCGTTCCCACAGTGAGGCAAACCTCCATAAAAATGGGCATATGCCCCAAGGATACATTTCTCAGGTAATGATAATAGCCCAACATAATCTTTACGTTCTCTGGCTTTTTCTTTCTCCAATCTAGTCGCTAACCAGCCAATGTGCATAGAGAAATGAAGACAGCTGGGCCCATGTTCCTTTCAGTGCTATCTATGATTGATTTAGCCACAGTGGGACAATGCTTTTAACATATTAGCAAATGTTGGAAAGGAAAGGACTTCTAATGCAAGCTCTTTCTTATTGCACTGGTCTTTAAAGTAGGAATGGGAAGCCTGTGGAGCTCCAGAAGCTGCTAACTTTGATTTGCAGAACCTCTTGATGTTAACCATGTTGGCTAAAGTATGTTGGTAGTTCAACAATAGCTGAGAGGCTGTAGGGTTTGAAACAGCTACCAAGTTGGCTAAAGTGTGTGTGTGGTTTCATCCCACCCCATTTCAATCTCAACCAGTGATGATAATTGTAAATGCCTGCTTATCTGATATGAGTAAGAACAAGGCAGGAAATGTCTATTTCCATGTTGACCAGAAGCCATTAAGTTATCCATAACTGAACAGAGCGATTCTCTTGCATATTTACTGACCAGTAAGATTTAGTGGGAATAGTCTCACAAAGTTGCTGTATTGGACATTAGTGTACTCTACAGTGACGCAAGACAGTATTTTCAATAGAAGGCACTCAGCTGTGGAATTTCCACTGCACAGTTTCTACCAAATCTTGGGGACTTTTAGCACCAACTCGAATTCATTAAAATAGTGTTGTTGTTGTTTTTAAAAAATCCTTCCCACTTTTGGATTTCTTTTAGGAATGATTACAGACTTCAAAATTGAATGAACGGATGGATAAAGTAACTATGACTTGTTGAAAAAACTAGTTTCAAACAGTAATGTATGGTTGTTTTAACTTTAGCTAAGGCTATTTGGAGTACTTTTGAGGCCAGGCAAAACTGTAACTCTAACCAGTGCGAATTGTCAAGTTTGCTCGTTGGTTGCACAACCGACAGAGAAGGTTGAAACCAAGGTTCATTACGTCCTGTTTTTATAATGTTAAATTACAGTATAGCATTTCTAAATAAGATGGTTGAAGATACATATGGTTAGGAGTATTTGCCTTTGAGGCAGTAGGAGTATCTACAGTTTATAGCACAAAATAGGATGCTGTTAGTATCATCAACTAAATTGTATAATAAGTAATTGGACAGGCTGAACTTGTTAGCTGAAACTGTAAATTGGAGACCTGTCTACTTTTTAAAACTTCTTTTGATAACTTTATTTTTATTAAAAATATTTCAGTGTTATTAAAGCTTTTTAGACCAATTATAAAATCATTCTAAAATATAGCAAGATGATGATTGTGGATAGTTTTAATTGATTCTCTATCAAAACTTGAAAATGCTGTGCCTCTCAGGGTCACTATACATTGGAGCAGGCTATAAACATTAGAAATAAATAAAGTACCTGTTAATTATTAACAATTTTAAAAAATGAAATGAAAAAAATATGGAAGGTACAAGTTACAGGCTAAAAAAGGCTAACATATAGAATTGATTTTTTTTAAATGATACCCAAAGCTAATCCTCCACATACTCCTATTGATACTAAGACATAACATGTATTGTGACTTGTTATTGAGTTATTTAGATTAAACTTACATTTTACATTTACATATACATTTACAAACTAAAATGTGAAATGTTAATATCTAACTTTGTTACTTATTTCCCTCTGACTTTGTTCATGAGATTTATTTATTTATATTATATCCAGATTACTTCAATAAACACTAGGTGACTTTTAATAAAATTAAATATTTAAAAACCTTTATCAATTAACAGTTATAATTACAAAGTTGAAAGTGACTCTGCAATGCGCATAGCTCAAACCCCAAATCCTCACCAGAAAGGCCAGTTCTGATGGAAAGTTTTCACAGCTTTGCAGAATGCTTTGGAGAGATGGAGCCACCACCACAAAGGCTGATTCCAGACTCGCACTCTAATCTCAGAGAAATAGGACTACTTCTCCCATTCCTGGTTAATTAACAGGAAGACCAGATTCTGCTTTTTGGTCCCATAGATATAGTACATACAGGACAATAACAGCACCTTGAATTGTATTAAAAACATATTGATAATAAATACAGCATCCTTATTTTCTATATTCTAACCCACCAGCATGCAGTTTCCAGGTGGTTTTTATGGGTCGGCTAAGTAGAATGCATTGTAATAATGCAGTCTCAAGGTAATAAGGTTATGAATCATTGTTGCTAAGGCTTCCCCCCAAAAGCCACAGACTAGCTGAAGTTGGGCAGAGTTTCCCATGGGGACCAATCCCATCCAGTGGAACCCCCAACTTGTAGACCTGCTCCTTTAAGGGAAGTGTAACTCTTATCCAAAGTGAGCACAGAGGCAACAGCAAATCCAATGGTTTCTACATAAATAGTTCCATGTGGCTGAAGTGTGATTTCTACTGATTTAATTTCATTAATTTTATTGCTGTCAGTCATTGTGTAAGGATATCCACTGCATCTCCTACCTGGCCAGAGATGGAGGTGTATAATTGTCAGCATATTGATAATCCCTGATGATGAATAAACAGGTTTCTCCCAGATTCATATAGATATTAAATAACATGGGTCAAAGAGCACAGCCTATATATGATCAGCCAAGGATTTGGTTGCTCCTCTCAATACTACTGAGTGGAAGTGCCTACATAGCCAAGAAGGCTGTGAAAATATTTACAGACCCCTCACATTCTGGACATAAACTGTTTCAACTCCTACCCTCAAAACAATGCTATAGAGCACTGCACACCAGAACAACTAGACACAAGGACAGTTTTCCCCCCAAACGCCATCACTCTGCTAAACAAATAATTTCCTCAACATTGTCAATCGATTTACTAAGTCTGCACTGCTATTAATATTCTCATTGTTCCTATCTACCCATCTCCTCCCACTTACCACTGCATGACTGTAACTTTGTTACTTGTATTTTTACGATTTATATTGATTGTTTCCTAATGTTATTTGATTGCTTATTTGTACCCTATGACTATCATTAAGTGTTGTACCTTATGATTCTTGACGAATGTATTTTTTCTTTTATGTGCACTGATAGCATATGCACCAAGACAAAGTCCTTGTGTGTCCAATCACACTTGGCCAATAAAGAATTCTATTCTATTCCATTCTAAGAGCAAAATCATGGTAAAATAAAAACCCAATTATCATGGGGAATCAAGATCCAAAAAAATAAATACCACTGAGAGATCTAACAGGAGGACCATAGTCTCACCATCCATATCACAAACAGCATAATGCAATAGTCTTCATCCCACATCCAGGTCTGAACTGTGACCCAAAGGATTGAGATAATCCATAAGGGGATCTCTAAAATCATAATTCTTCCAAACCTTCAAAGCAAGAAGGTTGGGCCCAGTAGAAGTTGTGTTATCTTTGAGATCAAGAAATGACCATCTGAAACAGGAGGTACTTGTCACCCCCATGCCTCAAAGTCCTTAACTACCTCCTTAGGCCTGCTGTTGATTCCCCAAACTGCCTGAAGGAAACAGATGGCAGATCTTATGCCTTCTAGCATGCTGCCCATACCCTCAGAGTCCACAAGATCAAAAGAATTGCAGGAAAACTTTCAAGACAGTGCTCCAATTATCTAATTGGATTCTGCTGATGGGGAGATACGATCTGAGTAAATGAAAGCAGTTTTATCTGCACAGGGTTTTTGCTGTCATGGGAGTCTGACAGAAAACCGTCAAACCTGTCCTTCAGTAGGGGTTACCTTAAAGCAGGGGTCTCCAAACTTGGCAACTTTAATACTTGTGGACTTCAACTCTCAGACTTCTCCAGCCAGTTTTGCTGGCTGGAGAATTCTGGGAGTTGAAGTCCACAAGTCTTAAAGTTGCCAAATTCTGGGAGTTGAAGTCCACAAGTCTTAAAGTTGCCAAGTTTGAAGACCTCTGCCTTAAAGAGTGGTATTGGGAGATCTTCTGAGCAGACATACTGATGCTTTCCTGCCCTTGTTGTCCCCATGTCAGCCCAAACATGGGACTTCTGCTTCATGGTTTCTAACGTCCTCAGAATTATATATGTCTTGATTCCTCAATTAAAACTGCATTTTAACATAGTCTTTCCAGTGGAAATGTCTTAACATGTAACCTGATAGGTGCTTTTTAATACATTATGTTACCCTTAAGTTTTTTGCGGTTATCTGTACTCAGGGCTCCCCTATGGCAAACAGAGATGCATTTCTTGTTAATTCATCACTTAAAATGTGTTTTTCCGTTCTTCTCCCCCCTCCCTCCTCTTTTAGGAGGCTTGTGAGCGCAGTTTAGCAGAGATGGAAAATTCCCATCAACAGGTCATGACAGAAGTGCAGCGGCATCACCAGTGGGAGATGGAGCGGTTGCGGCAGGAAAAAGAGCGTCTTTTGTCTGAGGAGGCAGCTGCAACAGCTGCAGGTAGAAGCTACACAATGCACACACAAAACCAAGCCATAATCCTTATTTTTTCTTCCTATGTATAGATTTAAAAGAAGAAAATACAGATGCATATTCTAGCCATCTATTTTTTTAAATATTAAACCTTGTCCAATCATGTTGATAAAAGTTTTCCATTTTGAGAATAGCCAGCCAGTTCAAAAGCAGAGAGAGAAAGAAAGAGAGAGAGAGAGAGAGAGATCTTTTCACTATAACAAAGTACTTTTTAAATGACCCATGCATAATACTTGGTACATATTTGTTTTGTTAGTAAATTCAATTTTTTTCCTAAATAGTTAAAATCATGGCGTGCTGCCCTCTCTCGATGAGAAGAGGCAAAGCATGTACTTTGGCAGAAAACAAGCAAGCATGAAAAACATTTGTCATCCGCAGGCTGTAGTTATCCCTTTAAATGCCAAGGACAGAGCATGTAGAACTTTAGGAAGATATGGTTGTCACCCACAGCAGTATTTTCAAACAAGCAGAAGATGAGTCTTGACAACACAAATCGGACCAAAAGAGAATAAAAGGGGAGGAGAAATCAAAGGATGGGAAATTTAAAGGGAATTTACATTAGGCATCTTATAATCACCAAAGCTATAAAATTCTTGATGGAGATCTTGCAAGAGAATTTGGGGAAGCTGTTACTTCATTTTTCATTGGTCCTTGTTAGAGACCTTCAAACGGTATGAATTCTAGCTATGGTCTCTTGCTCCTCTACTGCTCCAACTCCTGGAAATAGCAGGACTGGATTCATTGAACTGGATTCCTCCCTTTCTGCTAGCTCATGCTTTTTAATAGCTTGAACTTGCAGCTGTTGATTTGTTAGCATTGGGCATTCCGATGTCTATCTTAAAAATATTTTTTTAGTTATTTGTAATCTAAAATACATTTCAGTGTTGATAATCTTTAGGAGTTATAGAACTGCTGACGCATACAAATCAAACTGTAAAATCAGCAGATGTTTTAATTAGATATACACTGCCATCCAGCATTTTTAGACAATTCAAATTCCTTTGGTAATAAATCATTCTTTTAAGATACATTTTAATAAATACCATAAGATGAAAATACAAAAAAGAAACAAAAGTTAGAAAACTGACTCAAAGAAAGAGGAGTACAAAGAAAGAAAGAAAAAATAGTGTCTCCCAACTTACTCAGTGCAGTAAGATACAAAAAATATATATTACAACCTCAACCTTTTGCTTTACATTTCAGGTTCTTCCAGGCCATTTCTATAATAATAAGAAAATTATTCTAATAATCAAAACCTAAAATTAAAGTATCAAATTTTTCCCAGTTTCAAGTAAAAAGTCCAGAAGCGGTTCCCAAGTAGAACTAAAACTAGATAAATTCTTCGCTTTAATTAAAACAGTTTTACCATCTCCCCTAACTCCATCATGTTTATTTTCTGCCCTTCCATTGTGGAAATTAGTGTGTCTATCCATCTTTCTGCATATAAGGCTCTTGCCGCTGTACACATATATAATTATAAGGTTCCAAATTTTCTTTCAAGTACTTTGTCCATCAAACCTGAAAGGAAGACTCCTAGTTCCAATTTTATATTTAAGAATCTTCTGAATCAAGATAAACTCCCCTAGCGAAGACTTCATATTTGTGGTTTCAGAAGTCTTCAATAGCTTTGAGATAGTCAATAGGCAATTTGTCAAAGTGGTTAGAAAGAGAAATTTACAAACTTTAAAAGGCTCAGCTATGGTTGCAAGCATGGTGACTGATCTCATCATCTCCTGGAGCTCCAACCTACAGAAACCTACTGTCCTTCAATCTCCTCATGAGGAGCAGCTGTCCAGAGCACATGTGGCCAATCTCCCAACTTCTCTTTGTCCACAGAGGTTCCAAGAAACAGGCCTATTCACTGGTTCCTTGCTCTGGGCTGTAAGCACCACTTTTGTGGAACTATCTTTAATTTGCCCAATAGGCAAGTGAATTTCAATAAGCAAGTGAATTTCTCTTCTAATAATTGTTTTGAGAAACCTAAGAAAAACCTCAAAGTAAAACCTCGTTTGTTAGCAATTGGGAATATATGCGATTTCTCCATTTAATTGAATAACTCGATAATTCAGCGTCCTTTTAATACTATGGTAGTACATTTTTGTAAAGAATATTCACAAAGATCAATTGAATAAAATGTATCATTCAAATATAATGTTTAGCTGTAGCCACTGAAATCTCCATTATTTAAAAGCCAGTGAGCAAATGTTCTCTTTGTCGCCTGATACAATGTATGAGTGTGCAGAACTTAAGTTCTTCAGCTGGATTTTTCTCCTTTCCAAAACAATTTAATTTGGAATACATAAGATATATACATTACAAGTTTAGCAGATTTTATTGATCCTTTCTTTGTCCTGTCTCTCTGCTCCTACCCTTCCCTTTGCTCTAGCAATTGAAGCTCTGAAGAAGGCACACAGGGAAGAAATGAACAAAGAGTTGGGCAGAACACGCAACTTTCAGAAAGGGTTTTCAGATCCAAATGTGCTCCAGCAACAGCATCGGTAAGCGACAATTGAAAAATGATTGAGGGAATCTTGACTCATGAATTGAGGAAGGAGATAAGAATTGTATCTACTAAAATGTTGATTGCTGTAGCATTTGATGAAAATCTTTGGGTGCATTTTGGGAGCAAATTGACTTTGCCATCACTTTTAAGTGTCATATAGAAAAGAAAAAGGAGCTGGAGAGTAGTCCTATTAATGTGTATGTTTATTTAAATTCATTTGGATCAAATTCAATTTTTGCCCTACCTTTACCTTTATGTTGTCATCCTTTGACCCAGCCCCCGTATGCATTTGGGATTCATCCCCTCTAGCTCATTTAGCTAAGTGCAATCCTTTTATGGGAAAAGCGAATGACCCTTCAGTTTTCACTAGAATCCATTGCTTGTTTTCTTCAACAGATAGAAAGATGGGTCAGAAAGATTAAATAGGACCATTTAGGCCCTTTTCCACCATAGATAGCTTTAAAAAGGAACTGGCAACTCAAAAAGATGCCTAAGCATGTCAAACCTGGAAATGGGGATGATAATAGTAGACTGTATTTGTATAGATCAGGGGTGTTAAAGACCCCCGGCCCGCAGGGTGCTTAAATCTGGTCCATGGGGCCAGCCTGGAAATATCAAAGGACCACCCTGTGATACTTCTGTCAGCCAAAATGGGCCAGGGGGGGACCGCTTGCAACCCATTTTCGGCCTCTAGCATTCTGACGGCCAACAACGGGCCTCGCAGAGGCCTTCTGAGGCTCCCACGCAGCCCATTTTGGCTGGCAAGGTGCTGCAGGAGGCGTCTGCCCTGTTCCCCCCCCCCTCCCCTGGCCAGTCCACGGAGAACTACAATGCTGATCCAGCCCTCGAAGAAATCCAATATTGACACTCCTGGTATAGATTATCCTCTTAACCGGTTTCTGTGTCATGAGGGTCACATTTTGTTCAGGATTTGCAAAATAAGATTCTTATTTTGGAGGAGACAGACCCGATTTTTTTTGGGGGGGGGGGAAGACTAGCAGAGAAAACTTAGATCGTGTTGATAGTGAAATCCTGGTATCTGTTGCAGGTCTGATGTGGAGTCTCTGAAGCGGGAGTTGCAAGTGGTTTCAGAACAGTATTCCCAGAAGTGCCTGCAGATTGGGGGTCTGGTGCAGAAGGCAGAAGAACAGGAACAGATGCTGCAGCGTTGTCAACAGGAGGGGAAAGAGCTGCTTCGGCAAAACCAGGCAAGGGCTGGCGGTGCGGCCAATAGCAGGAATTCTGAGAGAAGGAACAATGACATAGCAAAGTAGCATTCATGAAAAGAGGACAGTTGCAATCTCCTTAATTTAAAATGCAAATTAAATTTAAATACCAGTGAGCTTGCCATTCTCCTTATTTGGTGGTCCTTGTCTTAGCAGCTAATTCTGGGAGATCTAGCAACAATTTTTGGGATGTCAGCCATAGACCTATTTGGAATCCCTAGGATGCTGAGTCAAGTTGAGCAAACACTATTAAGCTCTGGAAAGACAAGCTTTGTAGAGAGCCCTAGGCAACAGGCAACCTCAGATGTTTCTTCTCAAGGCTGCACAAGATGTAGCAGGCCATTGCGTAAAAATGGTGCAATTGTCCAGAGTCTTTTGTCAATATAAGAAGTTAGACAGCCATGATTTTGCTTTTTGTAACTCATCTTTTAATAACTTTAAAAGTTAAGAAATCAAAGGGGAAAAGCCAGAAGCAATCTGTCTCCCTTGAAGACATCATCAAATGGTTTCCCTACATGGCCCTCAATTATTGAAAAAATATATGCTTAAATGATTACCCAGCTTCAAAAAGGCATCCTCCACCTGTTATATTTGATGAACGTGTTAAACTATTTCATCCTCATTCTTCCAGGAGTTGCAGAAGCGTCTTTCAGAAGAGATTGGCCAGTTACGAGCCTTCATTGCTGCTCGGTGCTCACGTGACGGAGCTTCACACAATGAGAAGAGTTCTTGTGAGCTAGAGGTAAGGAGGGAAGGTTGCTTGTCACCTGATACTTTTCGCCTGTCAAATATTTGCAGTTTCTTTGTTTCAGGTATAATTTAGCTTTATAGCATTGAGAATGAAAATAAATGTCTGCTAAATCCAGAAGCAGATGCACACAGCTTTTGCAGCAACAAATAGTTCTTTTAAAATGGAGATTGGGGAAATTATAGATTAGTCAGTGTAATGTTTCTTCAAGACAATTAGTAGAAATGGTAATAGCAATAGCACTTAGATTTATATACTGCTTCATAGTGCTTTATAGCCCTCTCTAAGTGGTTTACAGAGTTAGCATATTGCACCCAACAATCTGGGTCCTCATTTTACCCACCTTGGAAGGATGGAAGGGCTGAGTCAACCTTGAGCCTGGGGAGATTTGAACTGCCAAATTGCAGGCAACGGGCAGTCAGCAGAAGTAGCCTGGAGTACTGCACTCTTAACTANGGGCTGCCATAAAGAAAGGGGGTCAATCTATTCTCCAAAGCACCTGAGGATAGGACAAGAAGCAATGGGTGGAAACTCGGAGAGAACCAGCCTAGAACTAAGGAGAGATTTTCTGAGATAAAGTGGAACTGCTTGCCTTCAGAAGTTGTGAAGGCTCCAACACTGGAGGTTTTTAAGGAGAGATTGGGTATGGGCAACCATTGTCTGAAATGATAGAAATTCCTGCCTGAGCAGGGGTTTGGACGAGGAGACCTCCAAGGTCCCTTCCAACTCTGTTATTCTGTAATCAGTTCAATCCTGGGCAGTGGCTGCGGAGGAATCGGGAAGGACTCCGTTCCAGCCAGTTCCCCTGACTCCATACAGGGAGTTTACTTTAGATAACTTTTCTCTTGCATGGGACAATTCCTACTGCCTTTGCAGAAAGAGCCTCGTCATTTTCTCCGGAACTATGCATCCCTGGGTGTGTCCAGTAGTCTTGAAAAATAGTACTTTGTTGAATAAAATTCATCTTAAGGTCAAGTAATACTGTTGACATTTTTTTTTAAACCCTAGCCTGTTGATTTGCTAAAACAAAATCTTCTAACTCCTTATTGGAAGCAATCTGTAAATTACCCATATTTTTCAGTGCCATTTTTCAATTGTAAATAAAAAATAGCTCTAAAAATAAAGCTTTTTCTAATGATATGAAAGTTAAGAATCTTCAGATGCAGCTAATCAATCACGCTCCAATCATACCACCAAGTGAGAATATATTTTCATCAAATGTATGATGAGAAATTTCATATAGTCAGAATTGTTTTCACAAAGCATCAAAAGCTGCTCTAAAATGTTAATTCCCATTTCCGCCCCAGGAATTCTAGAAAAAATTTTGTGCCCAATTTTAAGGATTATATTGTCCCATAGGCATAATTCCATCTACTTATTTCAAACCACATTTATCATTTTAGTCCCTACGCCTTCCATTTAGAAGTAGCATTTTAACTCTTTAGTATTTCTTTTTATTTGGTCATCTAAATAATTTGACCTGCACTGTGTCATTTGAGAATATATTAAAAAGAATTGATACTTGGAATTTTGCTGAATTGGGAACCAGTGCACAAGTTACAGGCTTCTGAGTGAAAATTAATCTGGTATATAAATGTTCATACCACCTCCATGGCCAATTCCTTCCACAACACACACATGAGCATTGTTGTGATAGTTGCGTGGAGAAAGTTGGAATAGGTGGGGAAAGTGAAAATAGGCAGACTTTTTTGAACAAGGCCATATTATATCCTGTTTTTTAACACTGATATCTTTTGTAGGGCTTTCTACTTTCATTTTCATCTATTTCCCAGATTTATTCATAGCACAGACTCTTAAGGTTTCTTTAAGCCCATCAGTGCCAAAGGTGGTTCCAAGCCAACAAGAAAGAGATTCAAGTATGCATATTTTGGACCTCAATTTACCCACCTGTGGAGTAGATTAATATTATAATTTAGCTTTGATCTTGCTAGTCCCATGATTAATCTTTGCATTTATATCCATAGCTCTGACTCTGCATTAGGATCCAAACAAAGATTCACTCACCCATATTTGCTAGTATAAAGAAAGGGTGTTTATTAGTAACCCAGTAGGCCTGGACCTTCATATACTCTATGTGCAGGATTTTTTTGGGTGGGGATAGTATTGAAACATGTAATTATTGAGGAAGATCTGTACAGTAATGTTATTCTTAAGGGTCTATCTTCAAATATTCAAATCTCGGACAACAAGAGACAAAGTGATGTCTGCTAGAAGTCCTGACAAGCAGAAGCTGAACAGAATAAGTGGACAAAACCACCTCGTGACGTAAAGTAAAACCATACAGACCCTATTTTCCGGAGTATAAGACACACTGAGGTATAAGACGCACCAAGATTTTGAAGAGATACATTTTTAAAAAAAGTTTTTGCACTCTGCAGATCTTCCAAATCCTCTGCACGACTCATTTTTATGAAAAACGGGGCATGCAGAAAGTTTGAGAGGCCTGCAAAGTGCTCCTGGGGACTGGTGTGTGTGTGTGTGTGTTTGTGTGTGTGTGTGTCAAAAACGGGCAAAAAACAGCCCATTTCTTGTAAAAATGGACCCATTTTTTTTTTGCCAAAAATGGCATATATAGCCTTTAGGAGGCTTGTAGAGTACTCCTGGGGGCTTGGGGGAGGGGTGACAAGCAAAAATTGGCCCATTTTTTCCTCGTTTTTGCCCTCCCTAGCCCCCAGGAGCACTTTTCAGGCCTCCCAAACCCTCTGCATATCCATTTTTGTGAAGGGGGCAGGGTTTCTGGAGGCCAAAAAAGCTGTTCTAAGTGTAAAAGATGCACCCAGATTTTCTTTTTTTGGGGGGGGAAAGGTGTATCTTATACTCCGAAAAATATGGTATCTATAATCTAAAAATTGAAATATAGAGCGTATTTCGATATATAATAGAAATGTAGAATTATTTAAGAAGTTGCATAAGGCTGGACTCCTTGTGCCCAATTCATTTTCTCTTCTTACCACATGTCATTTTTTTACAGATATCCTGAATTTCTGTGCCAACAATTACCTTGGACTTTCTAGTCATCCAGAAGTCATCCGTGCTGGACATGATGCTCTGGAAAAGTACGGAGCTGGCCTCAGTTCTGTCCGCTTCATCTGTGGAACACAAGTATGAAGGCATAGGAATGCGGTTCTGTGTAAAAGCTATCATTTTATAATTCAATTAACAATGCCTCATAGCACTATATTTGCAAACCAAGCATTTGAAAATTTGATTTTCCTTAGCAGTTGCTCTGGGGACAATTTTTAAGAGTTACAAATTTTCAAAAGCAAGGCAAGGTTCTATTGTATTATTTCTTAGGACTGTTTAGCACTTCAATTTGGAGGCAAAAAATTGCTTTGGAACATATGGGGTGCTCCCATCTGCAACTTTTGGAAGGAGCTGCATCTTGCAGGATCCAATCTGGAAAGTTAACTGGGACCAGAGGTTGTGTCTTCTGACTTTTGGACCCATCTTCAGGGAACTTCTCTCTACCTACTTCTCTCTAGCTCGGAATACAAAACCTCGGATCCTAGTGATGGACCCAGATCAGATCCTGCAACATTATCCCGGGACAGATATATTCACCTTCATTTGTGTGCTGCATCTTGAATTGAATTGAATACTTTATTTGGCCAAGTCTGTTTAGACACACAAGGAATTTGGTGCAGAAGTTCTCAGTATACATGTAAAGCAACAGAATAATAATAATCAAAATAATAATAGCAATAAAGACAATAAGAAAGATACATAATAATACTACAGTAATACTACATGGGTAAATACGCATAGATATTAGATAGCACTGTTAGAATTACTGTTCAGCAGAGTGATGGCATGAGGGGGGAAAACTGTCCCCATGTCTAGTTGTTTTGGCCTGCAATGCCCTATAGCACTGTCCTGAGGGGAGGAATTGAAAGTTTATGTCCAGGATCTGTATATATCTTCTCAGCTGATATCAGTGATATTCAGGTCTTTTATGGAAGGCAGGTTGATTGCAATTCTATAGTTACAATTTCAAATCTCCCAGGACCTTTTCCCAGTACAGCACAATCCCAGGCTGAAGGAATTGCAGGCAGATGTCACCAGTGGTGGGTTTCAAAAATTTTTAGAACCTCTTCTGTAGGTGTGGCCTGCTTTGNTGGCAGATGGCACTCGGAGGAGGCCTAATCTGTGGGATCTTATGGGTCGAGAGGAGGTAATTGGCACATGTTGCCATGTGACATATTGTAACTCTTTCTCCTTCGCTAAAATGTGGGTGGGGGTGGCCAGCATGTGATGCATCCAGCCCACAGCCCACAAGTTTGACACCCCTGTTCTAACATCTCTATAAGTCCACAAATACATTAAACAACCAGGAAAACATCCAAAATCCCTGTCTTAACGTTCCATTCAATACTGAGCTGTCTGCTGAGCATTTATTCTTATATATGCTTTGTTGCAATCATACACTACTGTTGTTATATTCAGCAACAAACCTCCAGCACAAAAGATTCCATAATTTGAGCCTATTGTATAATTAATAACGTGCACTTCACCTCAGAAAGATGCCAATATCTTTCATTTGTATTCTTCATTTCTATTCTTTCTGGACAATGGTATTTCCTTCCCCATGCAGGACAAGAAGTTTGCCTCAGGGAAGTACCATGATATCTACCTGGAGCTGAATCACATCAAGCAACGGTCAGAACGAGAAATCGAACATTTGAAAGAGCATCTGCGCCTGGCCATGGCAGCCCTAGAAGAGAAAGAGATGCTGCACAACAATATCGGTATTAAAAAAAAAAACAATTTGCATTAAAGACCCGTTGTGTAAAGTGGAGCTAGCCAAGCTGCAAAGGCAGAAGGCGTGGGCCCCTTTTATCTCTCCACCGCAGAGGTGCATCTTGTGTTGGCCAACTTGCTGATTGCTTCCCAGTGTTCAAAATCTTTCTTCTTCCCTTCTCTTCTCATTCCTCCCCCTCTTTTGTATGCCAGAGGACAAATGCATAAACAAACTATTTCTAGAAGGCTCCATGAAATCAGGTTGAAAGCTACAGTTTGGTCACTGCTATTGTATTGGCCTAGTCCAGCTCAGTTTCATTCTGCATCTAGAATAAGTTTATAAGCCAAGGAGGTTACAGCTACAATACATAAATTGTCATCACCAAGACATTTTAATTGATTTAAGATTTTCATCTTCCATTATTGTTGGCATGGCCACAAGTCCTACTACTATGTAGCAAAGATACACTTTTTGAACATAATGTAATTTTCTTAATTCTTCTTTCTTTGTTCCATAGGTTAGTTACTTTTCGGTGCACCACTTTGGAGAAGAAAGCAGCGTTCCTCTCCAGGAGCACTGGGCGAGACTTTACCAAATAACCATCCCATGCATCTGCATCACTTGGGCATGTTTTGGGCTGGATCCTACTACTAGCACCTTTTTGGGACTCTATACATGAAAATAATTTTTATATTTTTGGGGATGGGGTTGGGGATATGTTTTAAAATCTTATACTTAAGTTTCCCAGCAGTTAACCACAAAGGCGGACCAGATATTTCTCCCTAAAGTTCCTTTAGATCTAATTATTCTTTCTCCCAAATATTTAGCTGTATTTACATTCAAAGTATTTATCTGCTTTCAGTTTTCTTCCAAATGGAGAAACAAAATCACACAAGCCTCAAGTTCAGGTTGTACAGTGTTGCTTCACAGTAATCCATGTTGGAGATATGCTGTGCCGAAAGAATGTTGTATTAGTTACATTTGTCAGTGGAACTGGTTTTTATGTTTAGGGTCGATGAGTAGCAATTGTTTTCAGAACAACGGAAGATTTTTTTTTTTTAAAAAAAGTGGGTTAAATGTCTGTGCATCCCATCTCAGTCTTCCTCCCCAAAAGTTGGATTCAACTAATATGTTCTCATGGGGAGAAATTTTACTGCTGATGTTACCAGAGCCAAACAATGAAGGCGGCTGATTTTCTTTTATTTCTGCAGAGTTAACTTAATAAAATCATTGACTACAGAAATGTGTGGTTTTTGCTTGACAGCAGAAGGTATAAATCTTGAACCATTTTGCATTCCCAAAAGGTGGGCGCTTCCTCCTCTTATATTATCATTCTTGGCACTTAATGTCCTTTGGAGCTTCAAAGTGTTTTCCCTATTTTCTCTCTAATCTTAGAAACCTTTAAGGCAGAAATGGGGCGGGGGATTATTTACATTTGGAATGACTTGCAATTGATCATCAAATACTTGACTCCGAATTGTTTGGCAATAGCAACAAGAAAAAATTTCCACTCCTAAATTCGTCTCTTTTATTCTGTAAACGTAGTTTTTCATTATTTAATTAAAGAAAGAGTAACTATAAAATCTATTCATGCTTGTTGCATGATTAGATAAACTACTAATGTTCCTGTTACTTAGGGCTATTTCAATAAATTGGTAGCATCAAGTTGAACTTGGTTGGCTCAGAAAGCATGGCTATTTAGTAATTGAATAGGACATTATCAGAAAATCCCAGAATGGCAGACTCAAATGGAAGGTCCAAAAACCAGAAGAAAACAACAACTCACTTCTCTATTGTTGCCAAGAAAACATGTCATAAAATCACCAGATACTGGGCTCAATGTGGAAGCTCTAAACATCCCTCAAGTAGGAATGCAACTATATATTTACAGCAGTTACAATGTGCTCCCCAAACTTTTTCCTTCATTATCCAAAATGGTTTGCCAGAAAATCATTTTTACCAATATAGATAAAACACTTAAATGTCCCATTTCTGATTGGGTAATAGATTTGTGTGTTGTCACCTAAAGTAAACACACTTTTACCCAATTTTGGGAAATTACCAAGATTTTGGAAGCATAGAGTTAATAAATGTCCAAACTTGATTTTGAATTTGACCCCAAATCACCCCACTTTTGTATCTTAATGGGCTACTTAGGAACTTGAATTTATTTCTCTGTTCCTACCATATGCTGAGCCTCTACATCAGTGATATCACATCTCAATGCAAAGGTTATTTGCAAAGGCTAAAGTATGCAGATAAAGATTCTATTCTTGCAAATCCGTTATAAAAATGTATAATATATAAATGTTTTGAATTTTGTTAAAATGCTGTTATCAGTAGTAAATATTCCAAAAATTATACTTTCAGATATTCCACCCCAATTTGCTTTTTTTTAAAAAAAATGTTCTGCATTTAGTATAGTCCTTGTATTAATTATATTGCACAAGAACAACTTTCAGAATTAAAAAAATATTAAGACCGCCCACACTACCATTCCATTATGCAATTTAATTAGACCACAATTGGTCTCCCTTTCCCATATAAAACAAGCAGTGATACATATTTTTAACATGCATGGCTTTAGCCAAGGTTTTTTTATGAGACAATTTCAGTAAGTTTATAACATTTCTTGCATTTACCATCTCTCTCTCTCTCTCTCTCTCTCTCTCTCTCTCTCTCTCTCTCTCT